CCGCTCTGTGATTGGTTCAGAAACCTCGTGCCACTATCTCAGCCAATCAGAGGCAAAAATAAAATCAATCACGATTTGGTTGCACGCGTTTTCCCGCGCTTTGGACAGTTTGCTTGTTTACAGTATGAGTTCTCAATGGCTCTTTAAGATAGTTCCCTTTCTCTGATTGACTGTTCTCATTCTTTAAAACTTTGGTTTTACCACCCTAAGTTAAAAAGCGCTTTATTACGATAATTGGTCAATTGCGAGATGCCAATAGCGCCTGCTTCAAAACCTCGCCAAATGCGAATTCTTTGATACAAAAACGATTTTCACTACAAAGCAAAAGTCGTTTTCACAAAATTTTTTTTCTCCTAACCACCTTTTTAAAAGCGAGGCCATTTAAAACGCGAGATGGAGCCTTACCTCAAAGCCTCCAATAACCAACAGCCCTTGAATACCATGCTTGGAAAGCTTTTCTGCCACCTTCTGCATATCTTTAGAGGGTAAGGTTCTGTCGGGACAAAGTTTGAAATCGTGTTAACACTTGTTAGAGTTGCATGGCAATGATCACCACAAGCGTCTCTAATGGACCAATCTGTACCCACAGGCAAAATTTTCCTTTCACTCGGTTTGAAAATAACTTAGCTCTAATGAGCAATGCAAGGACAATCTTGATTCTCTATATCATAGGGTTCTTACAAAATTTTCCCACTGGCTTCAGGAAATTGCATGGCAAGTTTTCTTCATGCTATAAAAGTTCTCCGCGACTATAAAACATGCACAAGAGATGATAGCAATAGAAAAAAAAGACGGCGGTAGTCGCATGTAAAATAATGTAATGAGGTGTGCACAAACCTTGTAGTTCCCAGTTTGGATCCACCTGCCCAAGCCCAGGCGTCGACATGAAGCCATCCCAGCTGCTCCACCTGTTTGAATTTATTATCAAATGGAGTGAGCATGTTCAGCTACGTCAAAAAGGCATTCACGAGAACAAGCCCACCCCTCTCTTCTGAGCCAGCATGGCGAGCGAGCCTTATTTTTTTTTAAAAACATAACTGTACAGCATGTAAAGATGAAATAAACAATTTTTAATATTGGAGAAAAATCGAGTTTCCAGATGGGATTTTTCTCTTATATTAAAAATTGTTTATTTCATCTTTACATACTCACTTTGGGGGCTGGTTGGCTGCATGTGATGCTTTAATATGACAGTGGGATACTGTTAGTGAGCTTCTATGCGCTAGCTGATGTTTGGCTGTGTGGCCACGTGATGCGGTTCCAGTCAATACCCACTAATTGACCCTTGCTCACCATAGAGTCTCCTGTAGCTCAGTGGTTAGAGCATCCGACTAGAACTGTACAGCAGTGCGGACTATCTATGAAAATGCCCATTGTCCATAAAGCTTCAGTGAGAGACGCAGTGACCTAACGGTATTTCTTACAGCTGGGAAATAGTTCAGGCATTAATACATCACTTTGCATTTTGACTTTATTGATTCATTACCTTGTCATCAAAGAGTCCATTGATGCCATCTCTGATTCCGAAAACCCTGTGCCCCTGGTAGAGTGAGAAGCGGACAAAGGCACGGACAGCAGTGCTCATGCCGCCTGCGGGGGCACCAATGTTGATGACTGCCAGGGTGTGACCAGACTGAACAAGACAGAATCGGGTTAGAGGCAGGAACAGGTGCTTGGGGGTCTTCACAAGGGGGAGACAAGGGATGACGTTGAAAAAAGGGAGATGAAAGAAAGGAAGGATGGAAGGCTAGGAGAATGAAAAAAGAGTTGGTGGGATGTACAGATGAGAGAAAATTGAGGTACAATCAAGGAGGCAAGAGAAAAAGAAAAGAGGAAAAAGGGGAAGGAAGGGAAAGTATGAGGAAAATAGTGACCAATGAGGGCAGATGAAGAAAGTTGAGACGATGAATAGAAGGAACCAGAAAGATGAGAACGGTGTAAATACATCCAGGAAAAGAATAGGGAGTCAGAACATGTAGCATCACAAAAGGATAGTTGAAGATGGAGTCAAGGTGGAAACTATAATTTCTTTCTTCACTCCCTTCACTGAGGGTGACGAAACTCTCTCTAATAATTCAATATTAAGAAGTACTGCTTTTGATATCAAACATTTTAAAAAGAAAGCACGCATACTTTGCAATTGCCAGAAATGTCACACTGGCTGGAGGCTGGAGGCTCGACTTCCTTCAACACTTTGAAAATCTCGATGTTGCTCCGGAAGGTTCTGAAATAAAAACAACATCAATCGGCATGGGGGATAAGCATCTCATAAAGAGTTAACTTTCATTAGAGTCCTTCACATAACAACTAGGTAGGTGACGCTAACTAATCTTCTTCAGTATTTCGGGAAATCAATGTTGATTTTTCTTCCTTTCCCCCTCCCCCTCATATTGTCACCTGTCCCAAATCTTACACCCGTCCAACATGGCGACCGAATATTCTTCGCACTGAATCACATACTACTGCCAGCAGGCTAGTGGGAAATAGTCAAGGAAAATGAAAGAATTCAAGGAAAATAGCAAAGTTTCAGTAATATTACCTTCCTCTTAGTTCAACAACTTTTTCAAAGTCCTTTGCTTTCGTTGCTTCCTTGACAGCCAGAGTCTGCAGGATAATATTTGTAAACACAAAATGATACACGCTGATTATGAAAAATAGGTACACATTGCAGAGATGTGGGTAGTGCTTTCTCCATGCTGTTGAGGCTTTTTTCAGTAATAGATCACAGAAGACGTCAAAATGTAGTGAGGACATTAGTGACACTCTCAGCTGCACTTTGAGTGTGCCACTTTTTATGTTAGTACCAGATTTTTCCTTCATTTGCGATCCACTATTAAAGATATGCACAGTGACATTGAATAGATTTGTTAATTTGACCACATGAATTACAAAGGATCTGTTATAAATATGTTTACCCTATTAACACACTCCACGAGTGGTCTTTTGGTGACTTTGTTTCCATCTAGGCAGATTACACATGGAGCGGTATCTGGCTTGGCATCCAGCACAGCAAGGGCTGCCTCTGCTCCCATTCGACAGGACTGCAAAATTGAATTATAAATATACTATATTTTCACAAGTACAATTTAACTGCTAAAGAATGTTGTGCACATTGCACCAAATTGTCTTGGTAACAGTCTCGCCAAGTCTGTTTCAGTGACTAAAACAAACAAATCTTGCTCTTTACACATGAAAAGGACTGAGACAAAGAAGTGTGTCTCCAAATATCTTGGTCAGGATTGCAATTTATTTTTTTGACATCTTTTTTAAACAATGTTGATCAGTGACAAAAATTTCCAGACTTATTACAGGGCAATACATTTGTCGAAACAATCACCAGAATTCTGTCAAATGCAGATGGGACCCCTCCTCTCTGGACATGTCCGAGCATTGTAACTCGTGCATCATGATGAAGCTTTGTCTTGACAAGCTGTCAAATAAAAAATAGGTAAAGTCTGTTTGTGAGCCAATTAACCCATCAGGCCAGTGTTTAACTCTGGTTTCCTTAGCATGAAGTGACTAGGAGCATTTCTACTTCCCCCCCCTGGATGGGATGCTACCGGTAGTCCATCACAGGATTACCCCCAGCATTAAATTTGCTAGTACCCTTTTAAGCTAGGTGACGAGAGGCACTGCGAGAGTAAAGTGTCTTGCCCTAGAACACAAAATTATGTCCCCAGCCAGGGCTCAAACCTGGACCACAGATCAATCTGGAGTTCAGTGCACTGACCATGAAGCCAATGCACCTTCTTACCAGTTGTCAAACAGAAACACACAAAATGTAAGTTTTTGTGCAAGAACTTTATCCTTAACTAAACATCATTCTGAATAACCGTTATGACCAATGCATTGTGTACCTCCTTAATATCATTAGCAGTGACAGGATTTCCTGCTACATCCTGGGCACCCTCTGCCACAATAATCATGCATAAGCGTCTACCACTATTCCTGACCTAACAAGCAAAAAAAAAAAGATTGCTGTACTGTTAATCTTTTGACAGAAAATTTCAGGTGTAAGGTCAGCTGGCATTATGAAAAAAATTGGAGAGATTCACAAAATAATTCAATTGTGCTGCCTTAATGTTTACTAAATTTTGGTTATTGCCCAGGGTAATTACCAAATTTAATGAAAAATGTCCTGGGTCTTAGCCAATCAGCATTTAGAATTTTTGTCCTTCATGTTATAAATGTTGAAATACCATTATGATAATAAAAAGGACTCCTACTTTTTTTAAGTGATTGCACATGGTTTCCTCCCATCCTTCTTGAACTGGCCATTCAGGAATGAAAATCTAAAACAAAACAATAAGTTGGAGTCCAATCTGGTTGCAATCAGACAAGTGGTTAACAAAATTGGACAACCATGAAGTAGGAGAGGCACTTGATAGTATATTTTTTTAACACACAGAATTGAATGACACGAGTGATATTTTTTTTTATTCTCATCACTTCTCTGCTTCTAAATGATATTGTAAGGAGAAATTCAGTCTTGATCATTGTCAGGTTAAATGCGTTCAGCATTGCCAAAGAGTTGACTTTTTTTATGCGTGAATAAACCGTAACTAATTTAAAAGCCTCTGACATTTCCCATTAAGATGTACCTTGCAGGATAAAAATTAATACGACTGTACACTTTGTGGTCAATTTGATTAAAACAATAAACTTACATAGTCGGCACCAACTCCCAAGCCTGTAACAAGAGCAAGGTATCTGTAGAAATAAAAAAAGCAATTATACAAAACTTGAGTAACATATAGCAGAACAAAGCTCTTGGTTACCTATCATACATTTGGGAAGTGTCTTGAATTCTTCATGAAAGACTATGCAAGATTGTATGACTAACTTTCTCAGTGACAGAAAGAAAACATCAAAAAATTATTCTGTGCACAACAGTAAAAAAAGGAAATGTTTTGCAACACCCTTGCTTTTTGGACAGATCATTTGCCACTCAAGAAAAACACAAAACATCTTACCCACAGTGTCTCCCCATCCCTTCTAGGACAAAAGTCCTCTGATGGCTGTTGAGGGAAGCACAAAATTCCATACAATCAAACCATTTTTCGGTAAAAATCTGGAAGTTGCCTACAATTTGATTCAAACAACATAGACAACAGAACTGAAAGAAAACAAAAAGCACACAGAAAATGACCAAACACTTCAATTCATGCCTTGAAGCTGTTGTTGTAATGGCATCTACGGCTTCAAAAATCCTATGAAGTGCTGAATCGGCTCCAATAGTCATATCAGTGCCACAGAAATCATTGTCAATTGAGCCAACCTAAAAAATCAAGTATTGCAGCACAAAGATAAACCAAAAAATGAAATTGGGCAATGCAAAAAATAAACTTAAAAATGTAGCAAAGTATTTTGGCAGGAGTCTGCAGTGTCAAATTTTTTTTCTCAGGAGATGAGCGCTTAGACTCCTTTAAAAATACAAGGTCCTATTGGCCCTCGAAAAAAACTTCCTGTTTGGTACTCAAAATTGTGCAATTGGACCAAAATCTATTTAAAACCCCTGTGTGAAGTCATATTCATTCTCCCACCCCAGCCCCTCTCCTAATTCTTGACCATCACTCACCCCCTTGGTACAAATTACTTTCTCTCCCCAGCCTTCCGCTGCCTTTAAAAATCTAAGATTGCAGCCATTTTTCGCTAGAAAATAGTGAGCACTTGCTGGCCAAAATTATCCCTGCTCTGCAGGCTGAACTAAACAGTAACCCTGCAACTATGTTTTTGAAACTTAAATCTATATATTATTAAACTCCATTCATACTTATTGCACAGCATATTCTGAGTGAAACATGACTTACCATTCCCACAATATTTAAGTGATTGTTTTCTTTAGCCATTTTTTCTGTCACAGCACCTATAAAAATGTTCTATTGATTACTTTAAATAATGATAACCAAATAGGAAGATAAAGAAATACTTATTAAGAAATTATTAATTAAGAAATATTAAATAATATATTGATAGAAAAATAGACAGTCCAAAGACCTGTTTTTTTTTTTTCCACACCTGCAATTTACATCAGCGTCAATCTACAATTTTGAAGTCAAAGACCAAGTCAAAACCCTTCGATAAAAACTTCATAGATAGTCCATGCTGTTTGGTATGACAACCAAGTTTAAAGAACTCTTGCTCAAAACAGGTTTCAGACCTTTTTCCACCTTGACATTCTTGTCATGCAGATAAATGCTGTACTTTTGTTCCTAGACAACCATTTCTGGTTACTCATAAGTACCCTTTCCTGGTTTTAATAACATCCTATTCAGACAGACAGAAGACAGACTAACAAAATCAAGTTTTTAGGCACATAGCATTATAAAACAATTAACCACCTAGTTCTCAATCTTTTAATGCTAAATATAAAGTAACCAAAATTTTACCAGTTTCCACAAGTTCTTCCAAAAGCTCTTGCCATTCTTGTCTGAACAGATTAGCACCTGTTAAACTACCATCACCTCCAATAACAATCTGCCACAAAATTGCATGGAATTTTTTTCAGTGTATTAACAATATTACTCCGACCTGTATGTTTCACTAACCATAATGCATGTTCCAGAGCTTGACTACCTAATTACACCCAAAAGAATGATTGTATACTTGAATGCCTATAAGTTACTGTCTTTAAGACAACAAGTCATGTTCATTACAGTTTGAATTACTGACTGACTGACTGACTGACTGACTGACTGACAGATTGACTAAGCAACTGACTGAATGACTAAATGAGTGACTGACTGTGCAAATAACTGAACGAATGACTAAATGAGTGACTGACGGTACAAATAACTGAATGAATGACTAAATGAGTGACTGACTGTACAAATAACTGAATGAATGACTAAATGAGTGACTGACTGTGCAAATAACTGAATGAATGACTACATGAGTGACTGACTGTACAAATAACTGAATTGAATGACTGGCACTGCCTAGCAGACTGATTACTTTACCTGCTTAACTGACTTGGCTCTGAATTTAATGCCTTCCTGACTGATTTATTTTTTTTCATTCTTTTCTTTTTTTTTGGGGGGGGTGGGGTTAAGGGAATAACAAGATAATTTGGTTTTATCAATTCAGTTCATTTGATAATCTAAATTGGCCATCAAAGAGAGTTGAGCATTAGCCCTTCGTTATTTGCTCTGATAAATGGCTAATGAAGGGTCGACACTTGAAAAGACAGCTTCAGAAACTATTTGTGGTGACCAATTTATAAACATTATAAAGGAATAAATAAGCTAAAATGTCTCATAACCACACCTAACTGTTCGCATACTTACTAAATTTGTTATGCCTAAAGTCACCATGTTCTTGGCAGCTGTTAAGCGACCTTTGCGTGATTTAAAATCTTCACATCTAGCACTTCCAATGACTGTTCCTCCCTAAAATTATATAAATATTAAATATCTATTAACTATCAGTAGTGAAAATTACTTATAACAGTGTAAAGAGTTTAGAAAAGATAGACACAAGAAGAAAGCTATTTTGCACCTTTTATACAGTACGTACCAGGATCAGGGATCATCTGCAACATGCCTAATATCATCAGTCTTAATTATTTTTCAAAGTTTCATATTAAACTCGTGATAGTTCATTTCCTCACACAAAGTAAAATACATTGTAAAGTAACACCAGAATTGTAACCCAAACTGATCACCACCTCGACTTGGCTGTCTTACAGTTGAATTTAAAAACCATTTGCTCTACAAATCCACCTGGGAAAAACTAATATTACAAAAATTAAGGACAAATTAAGGCCATAAACTAAGTCCAAATGAAACACAATGTACTATGCAGATTTTCTCACTTGCAATCCAAATTTAATGAAAAATGTTTGCACCTAGTGTAGAATACACACCAGCTGGATGATCCCAGACATATCCTCCCATCTGACTTCTTTGATGTTATCACCACCATCTACCAATCCCTGGTAACCCTAGGACAATAAAATCATAATGGTATGGATTTGTTTAATGTTAAAAGAAAAAAAAAAACCATAATCTTATAGCCAGTAACTTAGAGCATTCCCATTCACCCCAGAGGGACACTGATCATTTGCAGGTGGCCCTCTCAACTCTCCCACTCCCCCTCTATAATTTTATAGCCAGTAACTTAGAGCAATTTGCCACCCACCCTGGAGGGATGCTGATCATTTGCAGGTAGCCCTCTCAACTCTCTCAGCCCCTTCCCCCCTCCCCTGTGGTATTTCATATTTCATTAGATTTTCTTGACAACTAACCAGTACTACTTTATTCTACTGAGTAAAGAGAGAAAGTGTGTCTTGCCTAAAGACACACTTTCTCTTTAGAATCCATTTTCACTGCATTACCGCAGTAGGGTAGAACTAGAACGGAACATATGCGATCCATGCGAGTAGTCCACCCATTAAATCCCACCCATCCCACCCCCAGGGGAGGACATCCATCACACAGAAATCTCGTGCGTGGGAAATTAACGTCTCCTACCCCTAACCCTGTAGGAGACGGGACCTCCATTTATTCGTCCCTATCCGAGAAGACTAGAATATCTAACCATTTCTTGATGTTATAGGAAGGCTGCAAATTCTTCTCAATTATTTTAAGACCTTGAGTGTTGGTCCGGCCGGGGCTTGAACCCTCTACCACCCGCACAACAGTCCAGAGCTCTATCCATTGGGCTAACCGGGTGGTAATTTATTGTGTAGCAGCTAGAGATCAGAATTAACCATCAGATCTAGGAATTTAAAGAGTTAAGGCATGGTAGGCATTAAACTGACACCTTTTTTTTTGTAACCCAAAAAATCAAGTCAGGAAGTAAAACCTACCTCCCAAACAGTAAACACCCTGGCTCCTGCATAGATACCCATCCTTACTACAGCTCTGATGGCAGCATTCATACCTAAAATAGAGTATGAGAATAGTAACCGTGTGCAACAACATCATATGAGATATGTATGTACCAAAATTATTTCATACAATGACAGGGCTCGACACTAACGGTAGCCAACTAGCCATAGACTAGTAGAAATTCAGTTTTGGCTGGTGGTTTTCGATCTCCACAGGCCAGTTTGGCAAGGAAACAAACTGAAATTGTCGTAACATCTGAGTTGTCGCTAACCACTTGGCTAGTAAGTTGAAAAGTTAGTGTTGAGCCCTGAATGAGCTGAGATATACACAAACTTCCATTGGTTCTTGCTTATGATCTATTAGGACAGACATATAGCTGTTTGAATTATCCTGTGAGGCTTTGTAAGACCTTGGTCTTCATAACAAAAAAATAAAAAAAGGATAAATTTTACTTTTCAAAATATTTTTCTTCAGTGGTTTACCTGTATGACTTCAAAATTTAATGCACTGTTCTTTTTCCTCGCGTCCGTGCAAACGAAATGTTTTTATGGCCACTCTTCCTACTTTATGCATATCAGTATCCTGTTTCCGATGGTGTCAAATTAATTTCGATTGGTACATTTCATGCACTTAATTGCAACTGATTACTACTGTTTCGAGAAAAGCGTATAAAATGGCTTCCATTGTAGTAAAATAAGGATTTTAACACTGGAGTTACTATATAACTGACGCCAGCTGACCCGATGAATTAAAATTTTCCAGCGGTTGTAAAAAAGTATCAAACAGCTCACATGAATTGACGTTAGCGAAGAAGTAATTTAACATATTTTGAACCGGCGGCACAGATCGTTCGAAAAATGAAAATGTACTCCTCGATGGAAAACATTACATCATCAGAAAAATCCCAAGGAAAAATGAATAAAATTCCCTGGAAAAGCTCTCCAGTAAATAAAACATCGCGCAATCTGAGAGAATGTAAACACTCCCTGGCATACAAATTTTATGTAATATCGTTTTAAGTGGATATTTTTTTAGGCGGAGCAAAGTTTATATCGCTTGGGCTCGAAAATCAGACATCAAAGATGTTCGTAGACAGATTAGCTTTTCCATACCTTGTGCATCTCCACCGCTTGTTAAAACAGCAATACACTGACCGGCTCCTTCAACATTCAACAAAGTTGGCAATCGAGATCGTGCAAAGGCCTCCCTCTTAGCGACCGGTCCATCTGTGTCAAAATCGAACGAGACATCCTCAGCTTTCCGCTTTAGATGTTGTTTCCCGGCACCAGAAGAGAACATCATATGCCTTAACCTCTTCGTTAGCTCGACGAGTAGGTATAAAATTACTTGAGACATCATAGCAGAAAATGTTCAGTCTGTGACCCAAAACATCCCTACACTAGCTGTCCTCAACACATGCGGCACTGCACGACTCGATGAATCCAGTGAAGCCTCCTCACAGTCAAAATGCCCGCGATTTGTTCGGCCTGCGGAAATTCCCTAACGGCGACTTTTGCCGGAGTTTTGCCGACGCCCAGCGAAGTCGTCCGAAAGTTGGACAGGTGTTTAAATAAAATTTGAATTCGCAAAAAATTTTCCTTCAAAATAAAAGGAACATTACTCCTTCTAAAAGTTACTTGCCACGTTCTTTTCCAAAAAGGTACGCGTTTCAAATGGTTAAGATAAGCGGAAATAAACCCGAGATCAGATCAGAACTCAAGCTGAGGTCAAAGGTGCAAAACGGTTCTACATTTTACCCCATATTTTTTCAAAATAACTAATATACATCAGATATACATTTTAAGTCAATTGAAATACTAAATAAGAATCAGCATACCTTGCTCTCGTTTTGTTTCCATTGTCGCTCGACTGCGAGGCATTCTCCACTCAGATATCTATTTTATTGTACTTGGAAGACCATAAACAACTGATTTTCCCTACTTAGAAGACCATAAACAACTGATATTCCCTCGGGCTGTAGAGATCGCTGCTTCTCTACGTTGGTGTTTCTCCAATTTCAAGAAAGTCGTTTTATCAGACCTTTAAATGCAATATTCTTAGGAGATAGAAAGCCCAGTTTTTTTTTTTTTTTTTTCAAACCATCCTGGTCGAGCGAGAGTCATCGAAAATTACCATATCGCCTTCGCGTAATAAGCGCTATACACACTTCTCGCGTACGGAATAAAGGTGGCTAAAAAAAAGATAACAAAACAAACAAAGGACCCACTTTTACGTTTAAAATAATTACCATCAGATCGAAGTCAGTCGTTAACATGTTGGCCACTTTAAACGTCAACTTTCAATCAATTTTAAAGACACCGCAAGCACGGTCGTCACGAAATTGAGGGTTAAAAAAAAAATAATAGATATATTTCTCTGGGAACTTGAAGAAAATAATATGGAAAAAAAAAAAACAAAGTTTTAAAGTGTCATCCGATATTATATGCACTACAATTATGTACATGATGTATTTGCATATCATTTGAAACATTTGAAATGTCACATTGAATTGACAAACCAAAGCATCGTATTTTGTAATTATTTAACGATTTTGATGACCAAATTAACCTTGGATACAGAATTCCGATTGATAATACGCTAGTAAATTCATAAGTTCCTCTCTCCGGATACACTAGGCAAAAAATTTGACTTCGACCAAATTAATCCAAATTAAAGGACAGTGCAGCAAGGGAGATTGAAAATAATTTAGATTAAATGTACAGAAGATTTGGAAAAAATCACTCGACCGGTTTGTGTCGTTTTTAAGCATCAACCACAACGAAGATGGCACGAATCGCAAACATTGCTCAACAGTTAAGGCTAATTGGAGAGCAAGTAAAGGTCTTCCGGTTCTAATACGCATTACCAAAGACGGCAAAGCTGGAAACGGTAAGGAGGGGTAGCTTTACCTTTCTCACTTTTTGTGAGGAGGACATTCATTTTGTTCTAGTATAAGATACGCAAGAAGAATAGAAGAGAAAGAAAGAGAAGACGGAAGAAATGCGGTTCAGCACACATTATCCCCGACATAGCGATTCTTAAAATTTTCTGGGGGGAGGATGGCCACAGACCCCCTTGGCGCTCGTTTCCAAGCCCTCTCCCCCTTCCCCATTGAAAATATATAGCCTCCTTACTCAGTGATTTTCAGACATTTTCGACCCAACACAAACATATTCACCAAGGATGGTCGAGAATGTGTACCTACCAACATTACGAAAGGCGGTCATGTCGTTCGATATCTTTAAAGCAGAACGCGCCTTCAAAGTTCTTGTGGTACGCCACGACATAGCTTTATGATGGCGTTTTGCTGATTGATAAAAGCCTAAATCTAATTTTGTAAAGTGGAGTTCAGTCGTTGAATCAAATGTCAAAGTCCATATCACCTACTTAAGCTGTTTTGATTAGAAAATTCAAGTCTGAAATGAACTTTTGACTATTTTGTTTCAAACTCATCATCGTGTAATTGGCTAAAATACGTTGGATGACTCTTGCAGAAGTCCTTAGACTAATGCAAGATTTAAGACCGTTTTAAATCTTGAAAAAATGTCCTTAATTTGCAATCCATCTGAATTTTTTCTTACAAGTTAAATCAGACTTTAATTTCAATTGCAGAAATTTATCATTGCACGAGTGTCATTATCAGCGCTGAGGGGCTCACTTTTTTTCTACCGGCGGAAAGTTTTCCGCTGAGTAGTAGCTTTTCTTTCAGCACGAAAGTAAAACAACACCTTGGAGTTAACGTTGTTTAAACTTTTTCAGTAAATAGTTCACGGGAATCAACATGCAACTGAGGAGCAACGAAATTTTTTTCCAAGGTGTGAAAGTCCGGTTTGTTTTCCGTGCGCAAAAAATATCTACTGTGACAAATACTTGCATTCAAGTCCAAGATTACCTTGATCTGATCAACTTAATATTTGAAACTGGTACAAATAAACTATGGCGAGGCTTGGTTTAATGCGCGCTTATTCAAAAGTTTGTCATAGAACGCCTCCAGCCATCCCTAGTCTAAAGCGTTAAACTTAGTGTTTGGAACAAGGAAGTAACCGCATAGGGAAGGAAACAGTGCCCAAGAATTTTATCTCTTAGACCTGCATGTTGAAGCTCTGACCCGCAGAATGTTAAATCGAGAAAAGTTGGATTGTCTCTGAGACTACACATGAGTGTTTGGTCGTGATTAAAGGTTGTCAAATCGTTTAGTTTGCATCCACTAGATGGCATCAACGAAACGAAAGTCTTAAAGTGCCTAAGTCCTGTAGGTAGAGGAGCAATGTTCACAGATAAAGATGACAAAATTAGCAGCTTATTACAAGTAATAGAATTGCAACGGAAATTGCAGAACGTATTTATTTTTTTTTTCGTTTGTAGATGTAATCTGGTACATCGCGTCACGGCTAGACATTTTTTATGGGAAAAGTACCTATATCTTTGTATATTTTACACCATTTGAAGAGTGAATTTAACCTGACGGAATGGTCAAAAGAATAGGTTCGCGATATCGAGCTAGTCCACTCCATTTGTATCGACAAATGGACTCAAAAGCGTTTTCCATGGAGATACTTTAACGTGAACCTCTAACTACTTCTAACGAGGACGTGGATGTCATTTACAGTGTTTCAAATCTCTTTGGTCACGAAGAACGTTTCTCTCGAGATGAATCATCCTTTTCAGCATTCAAATCAAATGTTAATGGCGTATTTTCCACAATATCTTTCTCATTTTTACCAGTTTCTTGGGTTACCTTATTGTCAAATGTTTTCTTTGATAGCTGGACTTGAAATCCTTTGTCTTCGTTGGTCTCATCTGCGCGGTCCTGCATAGCATGATTTGATTTAGAACAAACCTTTCTTTTATTTTCTCCACAGTGTCTCGGTGGTGATCTTTGCCCATCCTTCAACTCTAATGTCGTGTCATCTGTGCACATGGAGTCCCTTTGATCAAAATCCTCCGAATCTCGCCGCTGTACTACGGGAATCTTCCATTTCACTATTTCTCTCCCTCTCTTAGAGGACTCCCTTCGCACAATACTGCGTAATTTTTCGTTCGATTCATAATTCTCTTTCTCTTTCACAGAGCAAACACTATTACGGGTTAAAGGCAGATTGCGACCGCTAATAGAGGCCTCCATCTCTCTAGCAATCACCTCGCTGATCCATTCCATATTTTCCTTGCATTCTTGAGATAGAATTTGCAATTCCCGCATCTGGGTCTCGCTCAAGGTAGACCCGCGGGAATAACTGTCCCGCACATAGCTTCCGCGACGTTCACAGTCGTATGGAAATTCCAAGTCTATGTGAATTCCTTTTAGACTCAAATCTAACCGACTGTTTACGCATCGTTTTCGAAAACCGCTGTTCTCGTCGGCATATTCTAGTTTTATAGAGTACACGGACTTGTTTCTGCGCTTTCGACTGCGTCGATAAACAAGGAAGGCGCAGAAGAATGCACACAAGAGGACACTTGGAATGATGGCAACTATGATAAGGAGCTTAATTTGACCAAAATCACTTGATACAGCTGTCGGAGGCTCTGTGGAAATGTTCCCAGGGAGTGTGACTAAAGTATCTGTAGGTGACCTCGTCCGAGTTGGGACCACTGAGTCTGTTTCGGTTGCCTCATGGTTTTTTGAGCTTACACCTGGAATAAGAACCTACAAAACACAATCAAAACAAAGATTTATACTCCATTATCAGAATTTCAAACACTTCGGGGGGCTGTTGGGTCATATCAGCTCATTTTTCTTTCAACTAGACGCATATTTGTGTTCCCTCGGGCTTTCTCTTGGAAAGAAACTTTGTTTATTTGCATTTGTCCATTCTGCTTGGTTCACGATCACGTCTACATACACGATGAAATTTGCGTTGATACTTCTCCCGATCAACATTAGATAGTTCAGTTGACATAGCATGTTTCTCGATGAAAGGTTCACTCGTAAATGTTCTATCAGAGAGAGATTTCCCACAAGGATCACGGACCGACCAGTTCCGAAAACGCTCGACATCTTTTAGGGTGCGTCTACCGCAAACGCTGTGCGCATATTTTGCACGCGTTATGAGCGCATTATACACAGTATTTATGCTGATTCTGTACCTAAAAAACTCCTCTTCTTCCACTATTTCACCCTACCATATGCTCGTCAGTCAAAACTTTAAGGACTTGACTGCGATTTGTGACTGAACAAAAAAAAAAAAAAAAACAAAGAAACACCCAGCCGGAATTTCAACTCGAGCGTTTCCCCTGGAAAGCCCGTGTAACTATGGACGTAAATCAAAAGTTATTCATTAGTTGTCAGCTCAGTTAGCAACCTGGCTGGTACGAATGCTCTGAATGGAGGACCGTTGGATGAGAACTGTGTGTCTTAACCCCTAATCCAATTTGGATTAAAAAAAAAAATCTCATTGCCAACTTATCTTCTTAGATAACAGTTGCGTAAACCATGGTGATCGATGAGATATTTAACAATTATTCCGCGAGCGCGCGTTGGATATGAGATGATAGATAGCCAACGGGGCGCGTAGCGCCGAGTTGGCTATACTCATCTCATATCCAACAAGCGCGAGTGGAATAATTGTTTTATTAAAAACGTTGAATTAAATTATTAAATTTTTAACGCCCTTTTAATCTTAAGCTGACACGTACGCTTACCATATTTGTAGATTATGGTATATTGGCTGATATACCATAATAGCTAAGCCAATAAAAAGTCTTGAATTGAATTATGCAATGATCTAGTTTTTTTTTAAAAAAAAATTATACAATAAGCAAAGATAAATAGTCAGCCAATTGACTCCACTTCCAACAGTTGCTTAATTCGACTTTGCTAGCTATTCCAAATCAGCAACCTCGAAATGCTTTTTAATGTCTGGTTGAATTAAAGTTCTCCTCCTATTACTCGGATTTCACGAACTACGATATGGGAACAGCTTGATTTTCACGTGATTGTCACTCGTCACAGATTAATTCGAAAGACTTATAAGACATCGTGACAGCATAACTGTCACGTGATTGTCACTCACCGCACTCTACTTTGAAATGAATCCTACACGCATTTTAATTGGTTCTTACGTATGAACTATCGGAAACAGACGCATAGAGAAAACGCAAACATTAATTAAAAACACTTTGCTCTTCAATCTTATAAAACACATACATTACATGTTTCCGTGGACCTGTAGAGTAATAGATTACAAAAGACGACATGATAGGTACCAGGCTTCTACGGTCAGAACGGCAACGCGAAGGAAGACGTCCATCTATGTTTAGTTTTTCGGAAATGGCTTCACCTGTTTGCCGTCTCTTCGGCGCTACACCTCAGCTTCAACATAATGCCTATAAGCAGTGTTGACTTCCAAATGGAAATTACAATAATTTTCCCTCGCGGTTTCCGTTCACAGACGACGCAAATTGTACTGATTCCACACTGTTGTTTTGCAGAGGACGGCTCAGAAATTAACAAAGTTTATAAACGCACATGCTGAGCTATTGTTCTGCCCATTAGATCTTTTGTTTCGCCACGTCCTCGTTGCTGTCGCCGTCGTAATTTGCTTAAGGTCCCTAATAATGTGGTTAAAAACAACAATGACACACTCGTTTGCGCTTAGTGTGCCACTAATTTTTTTGTCCTTCATTTTGATTCATTACAGAACAAACACAGGGCAACATGAATTTTTTTTTTTTGTTAATTTTTTTTTGTTAAATTCAGACCGCTAAAAAGCGCCTCGGAATATCGCAAAACTTTAATTGATTCTGATCTGGATTAGCACTAATCGCTTTAAACGATGAAAGCTTCTAAATCTTGCCAAATAGATTGCCAAAGGATTCAAGATCTGCAGAGCCTTTCCGGGTATTTATATGCTTTTCAAAGATCACTGATCGGCCTCTTTAGTAAGCTTAAATCACTGTAGGAAAGTAGATATTGGCTTAACGATATCCTGCGTTAATCTTGCCGAACAGTTTATTCAGTTTGCATGTAGAAAGAAGAATGGATGGAGGCGGGTAAGATGGCAGCGCTCAGCCACTTTACCGTTTTGAGGCTATCTCAATTGCCAGTTAGAGGGTTTGTCTCTCGATCGAAAGCCCTAGTCTCGAAGTGATATTTTCAAATATAATTCTAGAAAATACTAAATATAAATCTATTGCTCCCTATCTCAAATACTGCTACCTGATTGTTTACCCTGCTCGTTATCTACTCCGTAAAAGTTACAAGGTAGAGTTAACAGCCTAACAGGGTGTCGCTGCGAACAATACGAAATAAAAAAAATATATAAGCCTGTTTCGTTGCTAAGTTTTACAGACGACTAGTAGATAAATACTACAACAATTAGATTTCTATGCGGGATGGTTCATCAATTGTGATGGGATAGAAATCTCAAGCACACCGTCTAATTGTTTACCCTTTCACTTCCATCAGTGACCGAGATAGAATTTCTCCTTACAATAACGATACAATATCAAGCCGACAAGTGATGAGAATAAAGAAAAATATCTATTAGGGGTCATGAGTTGATCTAATACCAAATTCTCCAAACTAACTTTATAGGAATTGTAAAGCAGACTGTAAGGAGAATTATTGATGAAATCTTGCGAATGAAAAGGTTAAGTAGACGGCGAGTAAAAGTGAGTAACCTTTCTTGTTGTTGCTGTTTTTTTTTTTTCTCTCCGATCACGCCTGTATCACTCACTGGATAAGCCCATCTTTTACTTAACAGTCACCAGGCTTAAAATTTACCATCTTCATTCATAACATCATTGCGTAGAAGCATTATATTATATCCTCGCAGTATGCAAAAAAAGTGGTCAGCATGGACCAGAGTGTCACGAGCGTGACACGAGCCCAGCGTGTCACGAGTCTCCCACAGCTCAGTGGTAGTGCGTCCGAAGTACTAATCAAAAGGTCGTACGTTTGACTCCCAAAGGAGCACTCAAAGTTCTCTTTCTCCGCGTACCCCTGTGTCACTCACCGAATAACATAATCTTTTACTTATAGCAGATTTATACTTTAAACAAAATCGGATTATTTGTTTTCAATTTCCGTGCGTGACAATTCATTCGTGCTTTGCCATCGTCAAATATCACGGGATAGTGATGTGCTTATCAAATAGTGCAGGTACCGGTGAGAAAAAAAAAATTCCTTTTTTTGTCAACTTCCGATGTTTATGCGATTTGAATTTCTCAACTGTCAATATCTCAATCTTGAATGTAATACAGCAAACGAAACTCAGATTTTCTTCCAGTTAAAGTAACGGGTGTTTTAATAAACGGGTCCGTGGAGTTACATGTGTGCTTATTAGATGTTAGCTTTCGTTCATACCTGAAGGTTTTTTTTAACGGATTTTCGCATTGTTCCCAGCCTAAAAAAGGTACCACTTCAAAGGAAAGCTCGATGTGTCAGTGTGCTATCGTATTTACTCAAAGTCTTAAGTGACTAACTGAACGTAAAAAGGGTGGGGATAGATCGCGCATTTCACCTACTCAACCCCCCTCCCCCTTCCCCCTATTTTCACCCTGTTACTACAAGCACTGCTACTTACAAAAACACAAACGAAGATACTCACAATCGTTCCAAAGGGTATTTCTGTTTCTAACAAGGTAGTTGACACCGTTGATGGGGAAGTCTGCAACTTGCTTTTATCGATGTATGTTGCCACTGTGAACTTGGAGAATAAGATGCTGTTCTGATCTTTGGATGTAGCGGAACGGCGTATGTCTGATAATTGGGAGAAGCTCTTCGCGTGGGAGGTTTCAGGCAAGGCACTTTCCATAGAGGACGCTGAAATTTTTGAAGAAAAAAGCATTCCACTCCCAGTCCATGACGCATTGGCTGAAATCTGAGTGTGGACGATAGTGGAGCTACTAGCAAGTTGGTGAACAGAACTTCTCCTGTGAGACTCTTGAGATGGGCCTTTCGTGCCAGGAAATGATGCAAACGATGTCGACGCAAATCGGCTCAAAGTGGAAGAAGAAGAAGAAAGAACTTTCTGTCCATTTTCGGAGGAAATCTTCGAAACTATTATCTGAGGGGTGGGATGGCTTACACCAGCAAAAAGAGAACTTTTCCCGTGAGATTTTGAGGGAATTTCCAAGCTGGAAGACGATGGCATAACTTTTCTTGTCGATGTGAATCTGTTCACAGAAGAGGATGATAAGATTGTGTGATGTCCACTTTTGTTACTTATCGTTGTGAGCAAGATCTGGCGTGTAGTAAGGCTCACACCCCTCAAAATGGGATTTTTTTGTTGTGACATTTGGGAAGGGCTCCTGAAAACAGGAGATGACGACGTAATCACACTGTTCCACGTAGATCTTCTCACAAGGGAGGAGAAAACAGGTTCATGTCGATTTTCGGTGGAAATCGTTGAATTTAACATCTGAGTGCTGGATTTGCTCATACCAGCAAAACTGGAAGTTTGCCTGAGGGATACCCGGGGGTGGTATCTAAAGTCGGGAGACGAAGGTGTAAGCTGTCTAGTTGACATGACAGCATTCCAAGGGGAAGTAGAGGAGATTCCATCTTCAACCCTTGAGGTATTTACAGAGAGTCGTCCCTGGCTGTAAATAGGAGTGGTAGAAGGATCGTTTGTCTTTGGTAACCTTGAGATTCTCGCCGTGACCGAAGGGTTTGAGGTTTGCAGATCTAGAACTGTGTCACTTAGCTTTGCCGATAGTTGCAAAGACGGGGAGAGGTTCTGATCTATGATCTCTGATCTACTGTTCAAAAGTCTTATATCTGTGCTTTGAAAAGCGAGCCTCTCAGAAGAGTAACGGATTTGGTGTACAGTTGTTGAGGTACTGCTGGACATATCACCCTCGTTGAGGCTAACTGTGGTTGCCAAATGTCTCTTGAAAGGCAGTATCGAACTGCTCTGGGCAGTCGATAATGGAGGTGTGAAACGTTTTGTTGACCTCTGACTTGAGAACTGGATTTTCTGTGCTGTCCTTGAAGAACTAGTAGAAACGGAAGTGCGTAAGAGGCCAACTGTGGTAGGGGAAGGACTTCTTCTTTCCCATAGCACAAAAATGTCTGTTACTAAGGAAAGTGAAAATGAGTCTTGGGAAGTGGTTGCCGGTACTTGTAGAACGGAAATGACAGTTTCGTGGAAAGGAATAGAAGGAATGTCTTTAGCTGAGGAATTTAAAGAATTACTTCGTAGACCGTGCACAATTGTAGAATGAACTTGGCTTGACAACTCCCTAGAGTAACGGCTCTTCAATGGCTGTGCGGATTCACTTTCGTCGATTAAAGAAGCCATGCTGTTTGCGTCGCTAGCGGCAGGCTGTTTCAGTGACGGAGTTTCCGAAATGGTCAACGCAGCATTTGATGTGTGTGGAGTTAGGTTTCTTGTTCTGCTCAAAACAGAAGGTTTTACTTTTAAAGTAAAGGAAGGAATCTCTTTTTTAACTGGAGAATGCACCACAGAACTGGCATCCATGTGAGCTGTGCCGGATGACGATGAAGTTACCAGAGGCGATTTATTCCCAGTAACCTTTGGGATTCCGGAAAAAGACGAGAAACTTCTCACGAATGTGGTTCTCATACCGGTGTCACATGTTCTCGTTGCGTGAGTCAACAAAGCACTAGCTTTCACGGAATAGAAAGGAATTGGAACACTTTTAGTGATGTGTGATTCTGTGGGTTCGATATCCACTCTCAATGAGCTTAGAAAAACGGAAGATCTAGTATTCTGCTGTGTCAACGAAAGCGGTCCTTTTGTGAACAATCTGCTTCCGCCGACAGAGGTGTGACCATTGTTATCACGTCCCAAAATAGAATTCTCGCTTGAAAAGTGAGTGTTTTGATCGATGACTGTTTTACTTTGTAAATCCGATAAAGCCGAGGGGTTATCTGCATTGGAATAATCCCCCATTTGAGAAGGAGACAAATATTTCTTCCCTTCAGACGTAGAAGGCGGAAAAATTACTTGATATATGGTTGTAGCAATTTCTGGAATGGTAACAGCAGGCTTTGATGATACTAATACAAAATCACTAACACTGGGAAATCCACTTAGGATGTTAAACGAGGAAATTCTCCTCGCACGGCTCTCCGGGGAAACGTTTTTAGACATTGTGCCGTTTGTGGGTAAATTTGTCCCTGATAGAGCGACAACAACCCTTGATAACGAAGGCAAGATTGGTAGAGTCGTTTCAGGTGACAAAAGTCCGTTAGCTTCACTGTTGTGCGATGAAGGAATCGTCGATTGTTCCTTCACTTTCGAGGGCACGGTTGTTGTAGTACATTTTGATACAGTAAAGAATGAAGAAAACTCTTTGTCATAAGTCTCCACTTTGACGAAGGTGTTGAGTAGGACACTCGAAGTATTCTTGCTTTGCGAAGAATCTGAGAACCCAGTTGCGAAACCCTGAGGTACACTTTTATAACAGAATAATAAACCTGAAAACCCAAAGAAGACACCATGATGAAATGGTAATTATGTTTTGAGTGGGTGCCGCTCGAAGTAGAACTACTCACACTCTACAAAACAAATTCACCTACCTAACATGACCCATAACTCCGACATTTCTCGGCAACTTGTCTGTTGACATCAATATTCTTGAACAATGATAGAAAACGTGAGTGGAAATCTCCCCTTAAAATGATTCTCTCTCCCTAATTCCTCGATCGCTTGGCATGTGTCGAATACTCTTGAACTTCGCTGAAAGAAACGTGCACTGTCTTCCAATCCGAACAAAATCGAACAACAAGACACTATTAATTTTTTGACACTATGCGGTGAGAGGCGGTATGGGATATTTGTAAACTGAGAAAAGCGGTTAATGTGGTTAACAGTTAGATTGATTGACAAGTTTACATGGGACGGGCAGAATAAAATACCATGCGATTTTGGCAATATTTGTAAGATACCACGCTATTTGACATATTCTTCATATAATACGGATATATTTAATATCTTTCTACATGCAACCTGAGATGCGGAATGAAACTAAGAAAATACACAGCTCTAGTAATAAAGAATCTTGTGTGTTGTTCTAAACAGATTTCGCGTATTTTACGTAAACATTCAAAGCAATGAATAGTTCTTATCTGTTTGCTTTTCCGGAAAGGAAACACAACAAAAGGGTATTTTTTTTTTTCGGTTTTGCTTGCATGATTGTGAAAAATAAGATAAGATCGCATTCTTCTCCTGCTAAATTGATCTCCACAAGGAGTTTTAGGACTTACTGATAGTCTTAATAGTTGTTTATCCTTTCAGTCATTTTTTCCTCGAGCAGTTTTTCCTTTATTTTGAAGCCGTTTGGCAGGAAACATAAGCTGATTCATTCAACTGAGCTTTTTTTTCTGTTCAGCTTGCGGGCATTTTGTTGGTTACCAACGAGTTTTTTTCGTTTCCTGCAATCTAGTTGTCTTGTTGCCGCAGACGCCTGAATCAGACGGGAACATAATTATACTGATAAGAGAACCAAAACCTTGGTGCTCTCGACTTTGGGGGTCGTCGGCATCTGTTATCTTGATCACAATTCACAATGTGTTTTTTTAATTCCATCTGTTATGATTCTCGTTCGGGGTGGCCGTGAAAATCAGCTTTTACTGTATTGTAGCAAGGTGTTCCTTTTCTTATCGCGTAAAAATCAAAAAATTGTCCTCGCAAAAAAATTCTCTGTTTCCCAGGGTGGTGGATCGAAGACGGAATCCGAGAAATCGGCTGACTCGAACTTGAAGCTGAAGGCGTGGTGTAAGAGAAGAAAAAGACGAAAACAAAATATTTAACTTACCTCGCTGTTTGTTCTTCCTTCGCTGACTTAAACGCATTTCGTGCCAAGACTCGTCACGCAACGCGTCATCTCACTGGCATTGCGTGACGAGACCGCAAAATAATTTGAAACTGAGTAGAAAATCTTGGCGGGAGTCTCGAGCGATCTTTGGCTTTTATTGGCCAGGAAGGAAGGGTGATCCACATAAGGAAGGCTTGAAACTACAAGGCTGTGATTCTTACCATTTTGTGAGATGTGGAAGTAGAAGGAAAATAAGACATTTAAATTAGTCTCAAGATGTACACAGGACAACATTTCAGGAAAACATAGCGGCATTCAAATGTTCAATGTCAATTTTCATTGCCTTTTCTTCCAACAATATGAGCTGCTCGATAAACTGAAAAATCGCAAGAAGCCCATCGGCTTATGTGGTGACCCTCTGCGCTGATAAAGAAAACGCGAGACCAAATGACGCGTGACCAAATGACGCGTGACTAAAGACGTTTGTCAGAGAGAGGGAGCTTGGGAACCAAGATTGTCAACGTGGTAACAACGTGGTAACAACGTGGTAGCCAGAAGACGGCATAACTTACTCGTTTTTATTGAAACGGAAGCAAACATCGTAAGTACATTTTTGGATTTTAAAGTGTTTGTTTGTGGCTATTTTAACCTTTTGTGTTACTTTAAAGGTTTTGTAGTTTCTGATGTCATGTTCTAGTGAATTGGTTGTGACGCAATCAATTCATCGATTCTATTCAGAATGCACTGTGGATAATTTAGCGTGTATGTATTTTAGGTTTAAAGAATTATTTCGGAAATTTAAACCGCGATACTGTTTTTTCATAAGTTTCCTCACCTTGATTTATTTTTTTGATTTTTTTCTTGAAGAAATCATGGGTTCTGTCTTGGTGTGCTGGTTCACAAGGGAATTACTATTGTTCTTTCTTTGTTTAGGAGTCATTGGTTAGCTGTTGGGTATTGTTCGGTCTTTTGAATCGGCTCTTATGAACCGGTACACGAGGACAGAATCAAATCAGGTTCGCTATGGTTGCAAAAGGGCAAAATCATAGTTACTGTGTAAACACAGTGACCTTGTCTGTGTATACAAATGGAGGAAGTTTGGATTACCTCAAGCTCGATCTTTGAGAACTTTTAAAACCTAGATCCGATAGTTATTGTATGTTATTTTTATTTATTGAGACAGCATTTATGAGATTTAACAATTTTCAGTCCTGATCACGTTTCGAGGATGGTCTGGAAAAGCCGAAATCCGGAATTCCGCCGGAATTTAGCCGGAATATTTCAAAGTCTGTTTTTTTAATTCAAAACGACTCCGATGATTTTCCGAAGAGTGTACGAGCTCTGAATATGCTCCGATGATTAACATGAAGATTATTCGATGGTTTCCGAAGTTACCCAGAGAGCCCTGAATTTTTGAAGGCTTGTTTTTCGAATTCTTTTTTTTTTTTCTTATTTCAAGGTTTTTCCAAAGAGTGTACATGGCTACCATTTTAATTCCGTTTCATTAATTTCATTTCCCGTTGTTTCATTACGTAATATCACATGACTTTTTCTCACATGTATTTAGGTTTTGAAGTCGCTTGTTACGTATGATGTAGTCCTGGTATGAGTCGATGTATTCCCAGTCAGAGTAAAACAGTTCTTTAACATGCTCAAGGCACGTTTTTTAATAATAAGAGCCGCAAAGGTAACAGTGTACGAGCTCCGAATATATACTCCAAGGATTAACCGAAAACTATCCGAGGGTCAGTCTGCCATTTACACAATTTCAATTCCTGGAAAGCACTGGAGTCGTTTTGAATTAAAAAATACAGACATTGAAATATTCCAGCAGAATTCTGGATTCTGGCTTTTCCAGACTACCACGTTTTGAGGCACTAAGCTTTGTTTAGGTAGTCTGGAAAAGCTGGAATCTGGAATTCTGCCGGAATTCCGCCGGAATTCCGCCGGAATATTTCAACGTCTGTTTTTTTAATTCAAAACGACTGCGGTGATTTTCCAAAGAGTGTACGAGCTCCAAATATACTCCGATGATTAACATGAAGATTATTCGATCGTTTCAAAGGTTACCCAGAGAGCCCTAAATTTTTGAAGGCTTGTTTTTTCAACTCTTCTTTTTTCTTTTTTCAAGATTTTTCCAAAGAGTGTACAAGCTCCAAATATATACTCCAAGGATTAGCCAAAAGCTATCTGAGGGTCTCGTAAGTTACCCGGAGATCCTTGAGGAACAATCGAACCCTCGGCTTCATTTGTTTTTTATCGCCTTTTTTTAATTCATCTTTTGTTTATTTTTAATTATTAACTTATTTATTTTTTAACAGCCGTTAAACCAAATAATAAACAGCAAATCATTTGTCAAATTATAGGTTAACATGGTCAGCATCCCTTTAATCGAGATCTAGATTATTCATTAAAAGGGTACAAAGAAAATATAGCAATGCCTAAGTCAGTCTGCCATTTATTGAATTACAATTCCGGGAAAGCACTGCTTAACGAAAGCGATAAGCTCTTCCGTTAGAGACAGGCCTCCCTGAGTTCTCCTGAACAGACTTTTCAAGTGGCCTGTATGGAAGTAGGGACAATGTGTGCGCAGACCTGCTATGTTGATATGGTAGTATCCTCTTTGTGGTCTTCCTAACCAACATTTTGTGCCATTTAAGTACAGATTTGGATACCAGTCCACCTCTAAACATCCAATGACTGCCATGCTATCAACAGGTTGAGAGTCTTTTTGAAAGCTTCCTTCACATCCCTTACATTTTGAGATGTTTCCTTTTAGCTTCATTTAAAAGAAAGGATTAGAAGATTCAGGAATGATGGGTTTCAGCAGTAAAGGAAAACTTTGGGGCACGGATGGTTGGAGTGGACGCATACCGCTAAATGAATGCTGCTGCGCAGAAGAATCGCCAGCGACAGCCTTTGGCTAAACATAGATGTCTTAAATGACAGTGGTAACAGCCCTGGGTATCCAAAAGGATGATTTTGACCAGCCCCTCCCATTGCTGTGGCCACGTGAGAGACCTTGCTGGTCAGGGCAAAAGTCTGATGCTGTGGCTGTAGATCTGATATTTTTATTCAAAATTCAAGTTATTAATTCAAGTTTAACTCAAAAAAATAATTTTGCGACCAATTTTTAGACAATGGCATCACTAACGTATTTTACTGCATGCCAAGTCTTCAGAAGGCCTGCATTTTTTATCTTTGTTTGTTCTTTGGACGAGGAAAAACGAGTGGGATATCGGGGTGGTTAACTGTCCAACCAGAAACAAACTAATTTGAATTTACCCAATATCCATGCACTTTTCACTTGGCTAAGACAAAATTCACCATCAAAAATTCCGTGTAACTAACATAAAAATAGATTCTTCAGCATTTTCTTAATTCCTCATAGGTGTTCGACCATGTTCATGGGGGTTCGATTGTTCATCAGGCCGGATCCTCGAGTAACTTCGGAGTATATGCACAGCTCGTACACTACTCAGAAAATCTTCGGAGTTGTTTTAAATTAAAAACAGGCCTTGAAAAATTCAGGGATCTTCAGGTAACTTCGAAAACTTTCAGATAATCTTTGGTTAATCTTCGAGTATATTTGGAGCTCGTACGCTCTTTTGAAAGGTAAGCTGGAAAACCCATGTGCAAGGTCTGTTAAGGAGGAATGAGGGAGGCCTGTCTGTAACAGAAGAGCTTATCGCTTTCGTTAAGCAGTGCTTTCCCGGACTTGAAATTGTGTAAACGGCAGACTGACTAAGGCATTGCTATATTTTCTTTGTACCCTTTTAATGAATAATCAAGATCTCAATTAAAGGGACGCTGGCCATGTTAACCTATAATTTGACGAATGATTTGCTATTTATTATTTAGTTTCACGGCTGTTAAAAAATAGTTAAGTAAATAATTAAAAATAAACAAAAGATGAAATAAAAAAAGGCGATAAAAAACAAATGAAGCCGGGGGTTCGATTGTTCCTCAAGGATCTCCAGGTAACTTCAGAGACCCTCGGATAGCTTTCAATTAATCCTCTGAGTATATATTTGGAGCTCGTACACTCTTCGGAAAAATCTTGAAAAAAGAAAAAAGAAGAATTGAAAAAACAAGCCTTCAAACATTTAGGGCTCTCTGGGTAACTTTGGAAACCATTGAATAATCTTTGTGTTGATCATCAGAGTACATTCGGAGCTCATACACTCTTTGGAAAATCATCGGAATCTTTTTTAATTAAAAAAACAGACGTTGAAATATTCCGGCGGAATTCCGGACTCCGGCTTTTCCAGACTACCGCTTTGTTTATCATTCATGTCCTATGTAAATCGATACGCTTTTATTAATTTGGACTCCTTTTAAAAGATGCAAACATACAAAATTAATTCAACTTAAGATGATTTGATAAACGAGTCTGAATTCTCAGGAAAGACACACATATATGCGAGGATTGTTTTGACCAGCCTTCGAATCCTTTAACTCGTAAGGTCTGATTATAAATTTTCCCTTCTAGCCCCTGCACATTTCCTTGTAATTTAGTTAGAAGAATTTGGTGTTCAATTAAGGTAACAAATTCTTCCCGACATGTTTAAGTATAAGCATAGTTAGTAGTCCAGGGTGCCCAGTATATGCTTTTTTCATGAAAAACTAAGATTCCTGAGTCGCCCAAAAGCAAAAGTAAGGTGCTAGTTGCCACTGGGTGCTGCTGGACCACAGCCCTAAAGTATTCTCATTACCAGTTTGCTGGATAATGTATAGATATGGTATGGAGAAGTTACGTGTTAGTAACTTGTAGGTAAAGTCTCTATACAAGCCTAGTAGCCCATTAGGCCGGTGCTTAACTCCGGTTTCTGTAGCATGAAGCGACTAGGAGTATTTCTACTCCCCCCTGGATGGGATGCCAGTCCATTGCAGGGTTACCCCCAGCATTAAATTGCCGTTACTCATTTAAACACCTGGGTAGAGAGAGGCACTGTGAGAGTAAAGTGTCTTGCCTAAGAACACAACACAATGTCCCGGCCGGGGCTCGAACCCAGACCACTTGATCCATAGTCGAGCGCACTAACCATGAGGCCACCATGCCTCCACCTAGTAACTTGTAGGAGCTACATTTATTAGGGTCAAAATATGTGTTCTTATATGTAAGTTGTTTTGTCTGTGTATTCTGTGGGATGATTTAGGACAACTGAAACAGGTGAAACTGCAATGAAATTCAGGTGTTGACTCAATAGAAACAACATAAACTACCAATTTTCATGCTGTGTCCATTGGTGAAGCAATTTCCTAGAATCATTTTAATTTACCATGAAACCTATAATTTACCTGTGAAACTTCCTTTCAAAATTGTGAAATGCTCAATTTATTCTGGCTGAAGTCCCCTGCAAGGTGTTCTTAAGTGCATCAGAGCATCTTGATATAGAGACTGCACTCTCGCTTGATATGCATCATAATAAATTTTAATAAATTTTAACCTCCTTTAGGATTTTTTTTTCTATTAGCTTAGTTAGGATTAGTTTTGAGTATTTTTATATTAATTTTCTTTTATCTAGGGCCTCTAAGGACATCAGTGTTTGTAACTGTAGGAGTTACCCTAGCTAAATAAAAGTATCTTCTTCTTCTTCTTCATTGTTACTATAAATTATTATCGTCATTATTGACACAGGGATATCAGGATGTCAACAAGAACAACAACAACATAGACTTGATTTTATTTAAAATTAAAGAAATAAAGGCCTCTGTAGCCCGCAGTTAGCAAAGCTATTCTAGGCCGGGCTACCTAAACAGACACTGTATAGGCTCTCTTGCACACACACACACACACAGACACACACACACACACACACAGACAGACATACACACAGACACACATACAGACAGACAGACACACACACATATACAGACAGACACACACATAGACACAGACACATACAGACAGACAGACACACACAGACACACACACATACACACACAGACATGCAACAATTAAATAAATAAATAAATGAGCAAATAAAAATAAATAATAGTAGTGATAATCGTGTTAAAGGTTTTAACTGAGCCAGTCACACAAAGGAGTTTTTAACAGGTCAAAGAGAAAGCTAATCAGTTGAAATACAAATGTCAGGCTAGTTTCTGTTAAAAAATAGTGTGTCAGTTTATCATGGGTCTGCCTACATAATACAGGTCTCACTTTAATTTTATCAAAACATATATCTTATTAACCAAGCGCAAGGGCTGTACTGGGAGAATATCGGCCTGAGGTCTTGACAGTACAGACCGAGCTGCACAGCTCGGTCCGTACAAAAAAGACCGAGTGCCGATATTCTTCCAGTACCGTCCCGAGCAAGCTTTGTTAATAAGAGATTTATTATACGACTGAAGTTCAAAGGGACACAAGTGCGGTATCATTCGGGACCATTCAGGACAGTG